GCTCTGCACACAGGCGTCCGATCGCTGCGGCCCCTGTGGCTTCATGTTCGGGGCTGGGGCTCCTTCTCTGGCTCGGACCCCGTTCCCACTGCCGTGCTCGGTTTCTCCAGGCGCTGCGCTTCAGGGACTGTCGGACCCTTGGTCCCCAGGGCGGCCTTGTTGAGGGCCCCTCATGTAAGGAAGAGAACAGGAGCCCGTCCGGTGGCGAACCTTCCACGGCCGGTGGGCCAGTGCGGGGTGCGCGGGGCTGCGTTTTGACCAGCGCTGCCACTGGTTAGCAGCAGCAGGACACGGGCAGGGCCAGACCCGGGGCTCTGCTGTTTTGGGGAAGAGGGTGCCCTTCCTGGCTTCCTTCTCCCAGGCTGACCCAGGAATGGCAGGTGCCGAAACAGTCCTGCCTGTGTTCACTTTGTTGCTTCCCCGGGGCTTCCTTACTCGGCCGCCTGGAGCAGAGTGTGTTCTTCAGAGCCAGGAGGAGGCCCCTGGGAGAGGGAGAGGACGTGTCCTCCTGGCCCCCACCACCCTAACCGTGAGCCCCGTTCACGCCGCAGCGCAGCCTCCTGCCTCAGCCGCCCCTCCGTCTCTGGGCGGTACCGAGTACCTGGTTCGCACCAGCTCCCTTGCCTGGCCCTTGGGCGGAGGGGGCGGGGAGGAGCGCAGAGCAGGTCCGTGACTGGAGCGGGAGATCCCGGGGGCATGAGACATGCCGCAGCGCTCCCGAGAGAATGGGAGCTAGCCCCTGGGTGAACAGAGGGTTAGCTGGTCACTCACTGGGGTGAATTTTCACGTTAAGGCCCCTCGTCAGTGTTACCGACCGTGAAAATAATGGAAACAGAGTCACGGAGCCAAGTCGGGCGTGTGGGTTGTGATACAGACGGCCTCTCAGCAGTGCGGCCTCATCTGTGCCATTCCACGTGGCTCTAACCTGTCCGCTGCTGACACCGTCCACCTTCGGGGGGGACCTTAGATTTGGAGAAAAAAGGAGAAAGGCGGTGTTGACCTGACGTACAACCCAGTGTGCTGTCTGCTTGTTAAGAGAGCAGGTTGTGACTGAATCTTTACCTTGTGGAGGTGGAAGCAATAAATGGCACCTGGGAATTCTGTTGAAATATCCTTGGTGATCTTCCAAGACTTGGCTCGTCAGAATGCAGCGTGAATCCTGCGGCGGGCGTGAGCGTCCTAGTCTGAAGACGAGGGCGGGTTTACCAGCCGTGCGCCCTCCGTCTGACCCCGCCCCGCAGCGGCCTGTGTGTCGGAGCCTCCTCTCGTGAGTCTGGCACTAACTCTTACTCTTCTTTGTTTTGTGTAGATGTTTCTTTCTCAGCAAAATAGAGGAGAAGCTTAGTCTTCTTCCAGACGATGGCGGTGTGAACGCGGGCGGAGACGGGGGCTCTGGGGAAGAGGTGGACGTGCAGGCCCCGGCTGGAGACGTGTGGTCCCTGATCGCCGGCTGCAGGTTCTCCATGAGGATGAGGATGGCGGAGAGCGCGGGCGAGCAGGTGGGCCCTCTGTCCTCCGCTGGGCCAGGGCTTCAGTGTCCTTCCGTCAGGCCAGGGACAGCTGCGCAGTCCGTGTGCTGCCTTTATGGGAAAGTGAACTTGAGGAAACACTTCAAATTTTACAGAAAGCCTCTAAGAGTTTATCGTCTACCTATTAACCACTTCACAGTGATTGTTTCCTGTTACTTAGAAAGAAAACCTAGTACCAGGCTTGGTAAGTGAATGCTCACCAGTTAGGTATAAATTGTGTTTAGCTTTAGTTTGTGGAAGTGTATCATTTGATAAGATTCCCTTCTTGATATAAGTGTGCTTTGCTTAAAAGTTGCACATAAACTGTCTGGTGTATTAAACTGTTTTTCATGTAGTTAAACCCTCTTAGAATGTTCCGGGGGAGCTTGCTCCTCCAGTGACCCTACACTGATGGCGACTGTACGGCACAGAATGTTACTCTAGTGGAAATAATGACTGTTTCTGTGTTGTGGGTTTAAACGCTCATTTGTAGGATTTTCCTTGAGGCGGGTGTTGTGCCAGGAATCTGTGCATTTCAGCCCAGAGCAGCACATCAGTCCCTGCGGGAAGGCAGAGGGTCGGGCTCCCGAGGACCTGCTCCTCCCCGTCTGTCTCTCCACGTGCTCTTGTCTCAGATCCTCCTTCGTGAGTCTGTGCAGCTCCCGCCTCGAAGCTGGAAACAGCCATGGATGTTTCCTGTCTTCCTGTAGTGAGAGAGTTTCTCACCAACTGTCCTGCTGCTTCCAGAAGCACTGGCCACTTCTCCTTCATCTTATGAGCTCTGGGTGCAGCAGGCCTGGCCGTGGTCCAGGGCGCTTGGCTGTGGGGGTGCAGGGGGCTTCAGAAGGAAAGGCGACTCGTGCTCCCCACTGCTGGGTGGAGGAGGAAGGGGGGCGGCTCCCTGGAGGAGGAGGCATCCGGGATGGCAGGAGGGGAAGGTGCTGAGTCCAGTCACACAGAACCCTGAATGTGAGACCCTGGGAACAGCAGCGTCTGCATGCGCAGAGGGTTGTTCCCTGATCCTGGTTTGCGGTGGACTGTGACGTACGTACGTGGCCTGGAACGGAGGCCTGGAGCCTCCAGGAGGGAGGTTGCTGAAGGTCTCTGAGTAGCGCAGCTGCGGTGGAGGCTGTGTGGGAGACGGACTGCTGAGCAGAGAGACAGACACCATGAGTCTCGAGCTGGGCGCTGGTGGGCGTGAAAACGGTGTGAAGCGTCCACTTAAAGAAGGAGATACAACCAGACAGAGGCGCTAGGGGTGAGGAGGAGGCTGGGCCGCCACTGGAAGGCACAGGTCTGAGGAGAACGTCTTTGGAAGCAGAATTGGAGGCATCGATTTAGACGACGTCCAGTAACAACCACCAAATGAAACAGACAAACTGCGCAGTAAAGCTCAGAACTGGGCCTCTGGTGACGCTCAGGTGCAGGGACCTGATGAGGGGAGGGGTCACGTGGACATCACAGACCTGACGCGGTTCAGAAGACACAAGGAAGTCTCTGCCACCAAACAGCAGGAGGTCAGACAACCCAGCCATGAAACGGACGAGCGTCTGGATCGACGTTTCTCCCGAGAAGACGCACAAGTGTCCACAAGCAGGTGGAGAATCCGCAGGCCGTCGGCCAGGCCCACCACCCGGACGGCTGCGGTCAGAGGGAGGGTCCCGCGTGCGGGGGTCTGGGGACGGTGGCCGTGGAGATGCATGGAGCTGCTCGGACAGGCAGGCAGTGCCCACAGGGCCACTCCTGGGTCTGCACCTACACAGACGTTTGTACACGGAGTCTTTATTTTCATTCAGATTAGCAAAAAGAGCATTATTCAAAATAGCCAAAAAGTGGAAACAGCCTGGGAGTTTATCTGTGGGTGAATGGCAGATCCAGTGTGTGTCTGTGCAGGAGAGCAGCACTCAGCCCTGGAGAGGGGGAAGCCCTGACGCGCCACCAGACACAGGACCGGCGCACCTGCTGCTGCCCTGGGAGGAAGTGTGACCGGCGGGTCTGGAGGCACAGGGAGGGTGGGGGGAGGGGCAAGCGCCTGTGAGCGGAAGGTTCTGGAACCAGATGGTGTGGTTGTCGCTCAGTGCGTGAATGTGTTGAAGACGCTGGGCTGCACTGACTGGGAGCTGTGTCCCCACGACTTGCAGAAAGACACCCAGTAACTTAACGGTGGGGAGTCCTGGGCCGTGATTTTACTTCTGAATTGTCCCCATCACTTTCTCTCCTGTACTGTGCAGGGCAATTTCTCACTTGCCATGAAACTGCTGAAGGAGCTGCACAGAGAGGCAAAGACGCGGGAGGACTGGCTGGCGAGGTGGGCGCAGAGCTACTGCCGGCTCAGCCACAGCCGCAGCCGGGCCCAGTGCCGCCCCGAGCAAGTCCGCACGGCGCTCAGGACCGTCTCCCTGCTGGGTACGGCCGCCCCTGCCCCTTTCCGTGGCTGGTGTCCACCTGTCTCCTGGACTCCAGAGGCTTTCGGAACTCTTACTTCTCTATCTGTAAGACGAAGTGGAAGTTAAAAATGTTCTCTTTAACGCTTAGTCAGACTTGGGGTGTTACAGTTTAATTATTCTGAGAACTTTCTGTTTACATGCAAGAGCTGCCTAGAAAGGTACCAGGAAAGCCTTCTTCCTCCTCAGTGCTCCGTCTGCGACGACGTGGCCTTTACAGCTGAGGGTGTGGGGGAGCCCAGGTCTCGTGTGTGTGTCCCGGTTGCCCAGCAGGCCCCGCTGAGCGAGTGCCCAGCCTGGCCCAGACTCCATCCTGCGGGGCGGGTGCTGTGAGGGCCAGAGTCAGCCTGCCTGCAGTGCAGACGGAGACGCACCTTCCACGCGGACCCCAGGATGGGAGAGGCATCCGGCCGTTGGGAAGGGGGAGGAGGAGCGTTTGCTGAGTCAAGAGGACAGTCGGTTCTCATGGGAGTAGTTGGCTGTGGTTGGTAACAGCCGTGTGAAACGAGCAGGGGTCCCGATGATCACGCGTCCGAGGGCTGTGTCTGGCCGGGGACGGTCAGCCCACAGGCGGGCGGGCAGTGTGGCCGGTGGGGCTTGCTGGGTGTCGAACGTGGTCCTGGACCTCTGCCTGCCAGTCTCGCTGAAGGCCACACGTCAGTTTAAAAGCGGGATTACCAGCGTGTGCGCACAAGCACGTGGGAGCCTTTGTGGGCTCTGTGACAGTGGGAGGTGTTTTGACAAAATGCAGGATGACGCTTAAATAAAAGTTTCAGGGATTTAAAAAATTTTTAAAGTATTTTTTTGGTGGGGTAATTAGGTTTATGTATTTATTATGATTTTTTAATGGAGGGACTGGGGAACTGAACCCAGGACCCTGTGCACGCTAAGCACATGCTCTGCCACTGAACCGTGCCCTCCCCTGTTCAGTGTTGTAATGGTTGAGCCTCTGGACTCTGGTCACTGCTATGGGCAGAGAACACCTGTCATCAGTGAATTCAGGAATTTCCTCACCAGTGTCTGAAGTTAGTTTCTTAACCTTCAAGACTTTATTAGTTTCTTAATACAAAACAATTTTTGTGCTATGAATACCTTCTTTTTAAATTACAGTACTCACTTCTGAAAAAGTCGTGTGTGTGTGTGTTTCATGCAACAGGTGAGAACACGTCAAGCTTCTCAAGCAGAGACGGCCAGACTTTCCGCAGCCGGAACGTTCTCCTGGGCACTGCGTACCGGATCCTGGCCGACGCCCTCCGCGGGGAGCCTGCCTGCCTGGCCGAGATGGAGGGGAGCGAGGCCAGGAGAGTCGTGGGGCTCTCTGCATGCGGTTCCGAGGACACGCAGGAGGTAGTGGCCCTGCGTGTGGCCCAACTGTCCGCCGTGCAGGCGCTGCGTCTCACTTCGTGTTTTTAGAACGCACTTGACAGCTAAACGCAGCCAAGTTTCTTGTTGGAAAGTTGACACACTCCACGTGTTTCCTGTTTATCTGAATGATACCATCTCTTGTGTGTGTGAAAAATGAGAAGCCTGTGTTGGATTGATGTGGACAGCTCTTCCACGAATCTGTCCGTGGAATTGCCCTTGAGCCGGGCCGATGCCGTGTGGGGAGTCCGGCCTTTACCGCTTTTTAACTGGTGCCGGCCTCGTGTGCTCTTCTCAGATGGCCGTGCCGACGCTCCCAGCTGGGGCGCGCCCCACTTCAGCTGTGTCCGTGTCTCCTGCCTCCACAGGGCCCCCAGCCCTTCCTAAGGGGCTGTGGGGCCCACACTGGGCTGGTCCCTTTCTGGGTGGTTCTCAGGGCTGCAATCGCACTGGCCTCTCGCCTACCCCAGCTGGGCAGCCCTAGCTTCTGCGCGTAGCCAGCTTTCGTGTATTTACGGCCCATGGGTCACAGGCAGGAAGCAGAGCCCTTCCAAGAGTGTCAGGCCCTCTCACAGGGCGCTGGGTCTCTGGATTGCAGGTGATCGCGGGTCTGTACCAGAGAGCGTTCCACCACCTTTCTGAGGCCGCGCGGACAGCTGAGGAGGAGGCCGGGCCTTCCACCTGGGGCCAGGGGCCTGCAACCGAGGTGACAGATGCTTACATGACGCTGGTGGATTTCTGTGACCAGCAGCTCCGCAGGGAGGAGGAGGGCACGTCAGGTGAGTGTCGTGTTAGCGCAGAGTCTTAGGAGTTTTGCCAGTCCTTCTGGCTTCTTGTTTGTCTTAAATGACACGTGTTCTGAGAGAAGAGGCAGGATGTTGCTGAGCAGCGTGGTGTGTGCGCGAAGGGAGTCGAGCTATCTGTCCTTCCACGTGCTAAATGCAGTACGTTCATGTGTTGCTTGTAGCTTTGCCCTTACTGGCTTCTATGGTCTGCCTCTTGCTCCTGGAATAAATTCAGTAACCAGCAGCTGCCCCTTGCGTTCCCAGCCCCGGAAAAATCTGAGCTTTGTGCAGAAGGCATACCTGGTGAAGAGTTCAGCTTCAGGAGGAGTGATCTTTGTCCAGCCTGAAAGTGTGTGTCTGGTGTTTGTGGAGCTTAAGTAGTTGTTAAAAAGTGAACAATGATGACCACAAAATAGAAGCCAAAAGGGGGAGATGTGGTCGCTGTTAAATCTGTGATTCGTGTCTGTGTGGGTTTGTTGACCGTTCTGTCTCCTTCCCTGTGCCCGGTAGCTGTTGAGTCTGCAGCACTGCGGACATACCCAGCCCTTGTGGTGGACAGGATGCTGAAAGCTTTAAAGTTACACTCCAGCGAGGCCAGGCTGAAGTTCCCCAGGCTCCTGCAGATCATAGCGCGGTACCCGGAGGAGACCCTGAGCCTGATGGCAGAAGAGGTCAGTCCTTCCGTCTCGGGAAGGGGACAGTACAGCTTAAAGACAGGGTCCTATTTGCCTCCAAACACAGACGGTGTGCAGTGACCACTGATTTTCGCTCTCTGCCAAGAGCATACGTCATTTAAATCTGCATAGAGGAGTGTTCACACTTCCCCACCGTTCTGTTCTGTGTGGTGTTGGTAAGAATGCAACGTCTGAGCCAGGACCCTGGGAGACAGAGGAGGGCTGCTTCCGGGCAGACGTCGGGGCTGAGCTGTGTCTGTGATGTCCCATGTGCCTTTTGCTCCGGTCACTGTTGAGCAGCGAGAGCAGGAGAACGTTTCAGGGGGCACCGGTGGGCCCAACCCGTCATCGGGCCCACGAGGGCCCCCGCCTCTCCCCCCAGGGCCATTGGAAGGATCCTTGGTGATTCTCTGGGTGTTTAACCGGAAACCAGGGCCAGGCTGAGCCGACAGTGTAGTAGTGTGAAGGGTGACAGGCTCGGTTACTTTGCATGACAGGTCTGTAGGCCGCGCTGGTCTCGGAGCTCTGGAAGGCAGTCCTCCACGTGCCTGGAGCCGTGGGGTTTTCAGTGGTCCTCAGCAGGAGAGTAAAGTAAAATCAAAAATGCGGTATACGTGGGTTTTTCTCAAACAAAAGGAAAGAAATATTTAAGTTAGGATTTCAGTTTTCCCCAAGTCACATTTATATATAAGAAGAACAGCGTGTTGAGTGGGGAGGGGATAGCTCGGGTAGAGCGTGTGCTTAGCATGTACGAGGTCCTGGGCTCAAGCCCCAGTCCCTCCATCAAATAACTAACTTAATTACCTCCCCCCAAAAACAGACAAAAAAAAAATAACATATATATATATATAATAAAATTAAAATAGCACTTGGAGTGTGTGAGGAAACACATGTCCTGTCGGGTCGATGTCCAAACGCCCGACGGCAGTGGCCGTGCGTGGGGCTCCCTGGCCATCCTCCCCCCATGGCAGGCGTTGTCCGCGCTCACTCCTGAGGCCCGTGTTCCACTGTGAGAGGAGCATCTGGAAAGGTGCTGGAGGAAAACCTGAGCAAAACTGGAAAACGGTCATGGAGTAGAGAGACAAATCCAGGAGCAGTAAAGAAAAACAGTCTAGTCCTATCATGAAAAAATCCACATATACAAAGGTAAAAGAAACTGGAGAAAAATATTTGCAACCCATACTAGAGACAGAGCGTGGACGCAGACCGAGCAGCAGAAGGCGGTCAGAGGCGGCGCAGGCTGTGCTGCCCGAGGAATGACGGAACATGCAGAGGAAGTCAGCTTTCACTTCTCAGGTTGATGATAAAGCTTGAAGATGGGCTGTGTCCAGTGCTGGCAAGGATTTTGGAAAGCAGTCAATCTAATGCTTTTAGAAGTGAAAATTTGAGAAATCTTCTTGGAGGGAAATCTAGCGATGCTTTTTGCTATTGTTAATGTTCAAGTTACTTTTACTTTTAGGAATTTACCCTGTGGGCACAAGCACAGAGAGGCGCACTTAGGGATGTCCGCTGTCATATTATTTGTAGCAAAAACTGGAAAATACCCTAAAAATTCCTGTAGACACTAGAACGAAAATGGAGTTCTGTACGGTTGTTAAAAGGAACGAGGTGCAGCCCAGAGCGGCCGGCCAGCGGAGGCCTGACTCCCTTCCATCTGTGTCTGTACTTCTGGATGCAGACATGTCTGCACTTCGATTTCAGATATAACACTTTTGTGAGGAAAGGATGATAAAGGCCCCCCCGTTACAGGTCTCGTCCGTCCCCTGCTGGCAGCTCATTGGCTGGGTCAGCCACTTGGTGGCCCTGCTGGACAAGGAGGAAGCTGTGGCCGTCCAGCACCCCGTGGAGGCCATCGCTGACCACTACCCACAGGCGCTCGTCTACCCGCTCATCATCAGCAGCGAAAGCTACTCCTTCCAGGACACTGCGGCTGGTCGGAAGAATGAGGAGTTCGTGGCAAGGTGACACAAGGAGTCAGGGTGATGGGACCCCACAGGGCCATAAAGACTGCGGGGTCAGCAGGCCAGGGGAGTGAGTCG